CAACTACGTTGCGCAGATACAGTATCTTATGTGAAAAATAAGCCATGATGAAATGATATATGAAAATAAGCCGTAATGAACTGATATGTGAAAAATAAGCCGTGATGAAATGATATATGAACAAATATCGCTTGAAATGCCATATTAACCATATACTCATATGCATTCGTTCTCCAAATTCAATGCAAATCAATTATTTTAATTATGTGCATCACAAGAAATAGGTAAATATCTCTAATACAGTAATAAATCATGATTTATATAATGGTAAGACATTGTGTATTATTTTATAATGGTTAATTGTTATTAAAAACTCAAATAGATTATGTATTATAAAATAAATTAATGATTTATCCCATTTTGACAACGACTACAATCCATAGTTTTGTCGTAGTTATAAAAACAACGATTGCAGGAAAACCCACAGTTTGGGTTGTCGGAATTTGAACAATAGAATTCAACAGACGCCACATTGCTAAAAAAGCACGCAGAGTCAACGTCTTCACAAAAAGTATTGCCAAAATTCGAATAATAATAACAACGAACAAAAGGATCACATGGATTAGGAAAAGTAACAGGTGCGGGGGATACATTAACGATTCTACATTCTAATGATGAACTTGTACCACATCCGGGGACTCTATCTCTGACGACTAAGGGAGATGTTAAAACGACCTCCAAAAAAAATCCGAGAACGAATAATTGCAGTAAAAAAGTGAGTTTCATCTAAAAACAAAAAAAAATTTTTGAAAAAATGAGATAAATAAAAAACTGGGATTAGTAACCAAAAAAATTATACACACCTTAGAATATAAATTTGCAGGTCCAATTTTTTGGGTCAAAGGGGAAAATGAACGATATTTATAATGATCACAATTCAAAGAAACTTAACACCTTTTGAACACTGGTAAGTATGTACGCATTTTTAAAGAGCATATAATATTTTTGTCCCCTCAGATTAATAAATGTTGTGTAAAAATTAATTGAGAAACATATTACGGCTTATACATTCATCGTATGCAAATTCATCAAATTAATTAATTTTACGTAACGATAGGAAATTGTTTAAGTCTACAAGCACCTACTGTGCATAAAACACTGACAATTATCTACACATTTTTAAAGAACATAAGATGCATTCGTCTTTTCAGATTAATAAACTCGTAAAATTAATTGGAAAAAATTATTACATGCATATTTTTGTTTCCTCAAATTATTGCGAATTGCAAAATTCTGGATCCTCATTGATTGTTTGAGCAATCATGCATCTAACAATCAAAATCACAATCGCTTAATAACAATTGCATTTTATAAATAAAATGTAATTGCAAATCGCATAATTAAAATTACGCAACAGGTTAAAGAAATTTTTACTGTGCATAAGACACTGATAATTACGTATATACACATTCGTAAAATTACATAATTAAATTTACGTAATTTGTATTATATTTATATGTGTGTGCTGCATGCATGATTTCGTTTCCTCAAATCAATTAAATTGACGTAACGGGTACATAAGGAAAATTTTTAAGCTTATAGGTATCTACTTATTATACAATCAGATCTCTAAATGCACTGCATTCGGACCAACGTGCTTTTAGATTTAACTGTAACGGCAAAAGTTAACCTAATGAAATTCGAAATTACTAGTTTACTCCTTTTTAACAAAATTTTATTAACATTTATTATTATATATATATATTTTATTAATTAGTCAATTATACGTAAAACAATAAATTCCAGAAAGTGTACAGATAAGGTGAAAAGATAAACGATCAACGTTAATTACTAAAAGACATGAAAATTTACATATGGACTACGGTAATACTAACGCTAAAGTTTATAGTGCAGCTTTATTGATCAGCACTGAAGTGGTAGAACCATATTGTTATCATCGAATCAATAAAAAATATAAAAGGAAAATCATGACATGTCACAAGGGGGAAAAGCAGAATTATACCGGAAATGGAAGTTTTCAATCATATTTTTTTATGCTAGGAATAGGCAGAATTATACCGGAAATGGAAGTTTTCAATCATTTTTTTATGCTAGGGATAAGCATACCTACGAATGAAAAGCCAACATTTTCTATGTTTGCAGTTCTGTGATTCTATCGTTAAGTCGTTAAGTAGCAAAGTACATAATGCAGTAATGCAGATAGTAACTGCAAATTCTAATAGTAAGGATTTTTATTGACCAACTACATGCTACTATTATGACAGCTTTGGAGAACAACGCGGTTAGTTTCAATTATAACACTGGATTGGATTCTATAAAGTGATTACGTAAAAATTCAATTCTATCTTTGTCATCGCAAAAATAATTTCGCAGACGTCATTACATTACATCCGAATCTATGTTAATTCTTTTGTAACTATCGTCTCGACAGTCAGAATGTTCCTTAAATTATGACTTATTCAGCAGGTAAACTTTTTGTTTGAAATTAACTAAACTGATAATTATCGTCCCACCAGGCCACCAAATTGTGAATCTTAATTGGCTGGAGCTGAGGGAAGCGAAGTGAAAGCCTTCAAGCCATACTCTACGAATTTTCGGAAATGTCCGGCTCCCGCTTCAACTAGGTCCTGATTTAGGTTCAGAATCCGAAAATTTTAACCTAAATTAGGTTCGATTTTGGATACTGAAATCTTAGTTTATAAAACAGTGCTGACTTTTAAAATATATAGTAATGGAAAAAAATTTTTGATTAATTTCTTATACTATCATTAGTCATAAATATGTTATTGTATCACAAGAAAACACATTAAATAAAATAAGCATGTCATTACGTTGCGTAAATAAATACATTTAATAAATAGAACAATACGTAAACTTCTACAGTAAAATGCAAAAACATAAAAGAACTTATACGCCTGAACAAATAGCCATAAGAAAACGAAAAAGCTTAATGACTCAAGAGTAGCAGCTAGTGTATAGAAGAAACGAATCTGAAAAATGATAAGTTCGTCGTAAACGACAGTCAACAACTAATTAGTTGGAGTTGAGGAGAGCAAAGTGAATGCTTTTCAAGTCTTACTCTACTTAATTTTAGGAATGCCAGGCTCCCGCTTCACTCTAACCTAAATTTTAGATTCAATAACCCAATCGAACCTAAATTAGGTTCAATGTTTGGATACCTGAATCTTGAGTTAAAATATAATGGCTGATTTTAATAGAATATATAACTAACTTTTTGATTGGAGCTTAGAGGAAAGAAATGAAGCCTTTCGAGCCTTACTCTGCCGAATTTTAGAAATATTTGAATCCTGGTTTAACTAACTTAACTCCATTTCAAGTTCAATAAATTGAACCAGGATTGGGTTCAACGTTTGATACCGAAAAATACGAAGCCAACTTTTAACTATATATCGATATTACATAACTTCTAATAAATGAATAGTTTATTTATTATTATAAAATAAGAATTACCCTGTATCAAACATCATAATAAATACTGTATCCCATCTTATTGTAAGCAAATATATTAAATTAAATAAAACATCATATTTCTTGTTTTTTAATTTAGTTAAATGAAAAACACGAAAGGTTTATATACCCAAGCAAACTGATATAAAAGATGAAGTTAGAGGGAAACGAAGTTTAATTACTGAAAAACTATGTTCAGTAAATCAAGCAATAGGTACGGTTGTTAATATTAGGAATAAGATAGCTGCGCAGCATGTGATGCGGCGCAGGACCAGTACGATCAGACGTTAGGGTGGGAAATAGCATAACAAATACATAATTTTTACTAATCAAGATTTTTCCGATGATCTGCATGATCTGCAGCTGGAGACCCGATATTTCCGATAATATATTTGAAACAAATTATATGATTGGTTGATTTGTGATTGATGATCGTAGATAGTAAAAACCGGTCCGGTGTAAAATTTAAACTGAAATAACTTTTGAACTACTTAAGATATACGAGTAAAAATACCTTTATTGGATTCCTCT